CATGTGCTACAAAAACGGAGTTGACATGTGCAGCTTCTTTTACATAATTCATCGAAATCGGACAAAAATGTAGGACACCAAAATCGGTACGATGAGCAGCACAATGCTTCAACCAACTGCAGCATAATGCTTGAAATTGTAGTGTTTGTGGTGGTTGTGGAACGGTGCTATGGAACCAAAATCAGTACACAGAGGGGATGAGCACTTGGTTGAAGAGGGATTGGGGTTTGAGAGAAAAGAGGAGAAAAAGAAGATGGTAAATAGGAATATGAAAGAGGAAACATGTATAACTTAGAAAAAAAGGGAGCTTTGACATTGTGAAAAACCAAAAGAGAGGGAAATAATTGGGGTAAGGAGGGAAAATAACAAAGGGTAAAAAGTACCAAATTTTAAAATGAATTAAATTTTGAGATAATTAAATTGTATCATTATAAAGATAATTAATTGCTAATCAAAAATTAAAAAGATATTTTTTATGCTAATTAGATAATATTTTGCCAAGAATATCAGCTAATTTTGGAATCATATATAAATTTATCAATTATGATATTAGGGAAAACTTCATTTTCATCAAATGAAATTAATAATTAAAGTTTATATTAAATAATTTTTCAAGTCTCTTGGTTGAAATTAATTTATAAATTATATTTTTTTTCATTTTATAAATATATTTAAAATATAGAATCAAATTTATTTGAGATAAATTAAATATGTATTATCAAAATAAGATATTCTAATACTTTAACAATCTTCCTAACGATATTGGGTAAAAAATAGATAAAATAAAATAATATTTGGGTAACAATGAGAAACGATAATAATGAGAAACGGTAACAATTTACAAGTATTTTTAATAGATATTTCCATTAATTGTAATAATGAGAAATGGTAACAATAAAGTTAATTTTAAAATAATTTTAAGAGATATTAATTATTGGGTCATACTTATTAATTAATTATTAATCCAATAAATTATAACAAATATTAATCAAATATGCTACATGAATATGGTTAACATTGCTTTCCCTAGCCAAATAACTCAAATTTTCCATGCTCTAGGCTTGATTTGAGAGTTAATTGTTGTGATATTAGTCTTATAAAATATGATAACCAATGACTCGTGAATGTTGATGTGGGTGCAAAATGTATTCCTAAATGACTCGTGACAGACAATGACTTATTAGTGTTAAAAATTTCAATGGCTTTTGGTTTTTTTCATCGAATATTGCAACGGAATTTTTTTCGTCAAAAATTTCAACGGAATTATTTCCGTTGAAAATTGCTACGGAATAATTTTCCGTTGAAAATTCCAACGGAATTTTGGACTTTTTCCGTCGAAAATTGCAACGGAATAATTTTCCGTTGAAATTCCAACGGAATTTTGGACTTTTTCCGTAGAAAATTTCAACGGAATTATTTTCGTTGAAAATTCCAACGGAATTTTGGACTTTTTTCGTCGAAAATTTCAACGGAATTATTTTCCGTTGAAAATGTCAACGGACTTTTTTTCTGTTTATAATTTTGATTGGATTTTACTCCTTCATTTTGCTCTTCAAATAATCACAAGCACTATGAAAAACCATAAATTTCTTTTATGCAAGAATGCTATCGTTTATAATTTTTTATGGTAATTTGCATACATATTGAAACATTCACATGAAAATGCAAGTAGTCATGATATCCAAAACAATATAAAAAATGCAGTCAACGAAAATAAAGGCAACATGAGTGATATGCAATTATCAACATATATGACACTGATCTGAGTAGAATAAAGCAACAACAGATGCAACAGTCCCAGGCAGCATCATCTTACAAGTATTTATTTAAGTGAGAGATAGAGAAATGAAATTTTCACCTTTTAGCAACTTTCTACAACACTAGAAGTTCTATGATTAGAGCGATGAAAACACATAAAAATTTATAGAGCAGGTGGTGGGCTTGCGTGATTTTTTACTTTTACCATTTAAATTTGGGAAAAGTGTTTGTCATTTTAAATGACATAAAGTTATGTCATTTTAAGAGAGAGATAGACACAAAATGACTTTTTTATTTCAAATTTAAATTAAAAAAAATCACTCACTTTCTCTCTCCTATGATTTCCATTTTTTGTGTCTATCTCTCTCCTAAAATGACATAAGTTATGTCATTTAAAATGACAAACACTAAACCCAATACATTTTGGTGCAAAGTGTATTCTTAAATGACTCGTGAGAGACAATGACTTATTAGTGTCAAAAATTGCAACGGAGTTATTTCCGTTGAAAATTGCAACGGAATAATTTTCCATTGAAAATTCCAACAGAATTTTGGACTTTTTCCGTCGAAAATCCCAACGGAATAATTTTCCGTTGAAAATCGCAACGGAATAATTTTCCGTTGAAAATTCCAACGGAATTTTGGACTTTTTCCGTCGAAAATTTCAACGGAATTATTTTCCGTTGAAAATTTCAACGGACTTTTTTTCCGTTTATAATTTTGACTGAATTTTACTCCTTCATTTTGCTCTTCAAGTAATCACAAGCATTATGAAAATCATAAATTTCTTTTACGCAAGAATGCTATCATTTATAATTGCTCTTCCGTTTATAAATGACAGCATACTTGCATAAAAGAAATTTAGGGTTTTTTATAATGGTTGTGATGACTTGAAAATTATCAACGAAAAAAAACTCCGCTGAAATTTTCGACGGAAAAAGACCAAAATTCTGTTGAAAGATTCAACGGACCAAAATTTCGTTGCAATTTTAGACGGAAAATATTCCGTTAAAAGTTTCGACATAAAAATTCCGTTGCATTTTTTCAACGGAAACAAATTCCGTATGAATTTTCAACGGAAAACTATGCCGTTGCAATTTTCAACGGAAAATTTCCGTTGAAATTTTAAACGGAATATTATTCCGTTGTAATTATCAACAGAATTTGTTGTCCGTCGTTATTTTTTGATTAAAATGACAGAAAATTTCAACGGAATTTAATTTCCGTTAAAATTTTTGAAGGAATTTATTTTCCGTTAAAAATTTCCGTCTCAAAATTCAACGGAAATTTTTTCCGTTTCTATTTCCAACGGAATTGAATTTTCGTCAAAAAATCCGTTACTATTTTTGACGGAATATTTTTTGTTGATAAATTCCATTAATAATAGAGCTTTTTTTAGTAGTGGATCTCACAAAGACTAACTTATCTATGCGGGTAAAGTTGGACGTATCCTAAAATGATTTTGTTGAGATAATTAATTTAATTATAAAATCAGAATTCTTAAAGAAGTTGTTTTTAATTTTTAATATTTAAGAAATTAAGAATTGAATTCAAGAATTAATAACGCGAAAAAATTGATTTTTAACTTTTACTAAAAGATGTGAGTGTCACATGTATCTATCAACAAGTTGACATGCAGTTTGATTCTCAACGAGAGGTTAGCTTTTCATGTATCTTTATCCGGAAACCGGTTTAATTCGAAAACCGTTCCGGTCTAATACCTATTAAACCTAATTCAGAAGCGATTCACCGGTTTACAAGCATAATTGATTCATTGAGTGAACGGGACCAGGTGATGAAGCAGTTCCCTATCGAACCAGCTGATCTGGTCCAATTTTTTTTTTTTTTTTTTTTTTTTTTGTAATAATGATCTGGTCCAATTTTACTAGCATTTGTATGTGAAGTTTTTGTATCAGAATTTTTTTCTTTGAATATATATTCCTACTGGTTCATCCATTATTTAACTAATTCGATTCGAACACTGTTAGATCTATTATAGGGAGTTATTCTTTCAAGATCATTTTTTTTCATTCTCAGGACTCGAACTCGAACCTATTCGTTAAGAGGAGATTTTTTTTTTACCATTTGAACCAATAATTGTTGGTTTGTATCATAAACTTATGAACAAAACTAATTAAGGTATGTATAAAAAAAAAGGTTATTTTTTCTTTCATTATATACATAATGACTCTATTATGCATAAAGACTAGACAAATGTTTAGGAAAAAATGAGTATATAAATTTAAATTTTATATCAAAGAAGTATATTATTTATGTGTATATATATGGAGAAAGAATCAACTTATACAGTGTAAAAATAACAAATTATAGAGACATTGAAGGAACCCGATGCTTTGCTTGGTTAGGAAGCTGTATTTTAGCCAACCAACTTTGAATAGCATGGATTCCTTTTGACAAGAAGGTGACATAGGGTATATATCCGTTATCTAGTGCTGCAGATGCTAAGGCATTGTATGAGCTTCGTTGCAAGTTCTTTGACCAGAGTTTTATATATCGGACGTCGAGTTACGAAACGCGTTTGGACTGAAGGGTCTTCGAAAAAATAAAAAAGATCAAACTTTCATTTACTCAATTTTACCCGAATGCCCAAACCAAATCAATTTTTTACTCTCAGGTCGAGAATGCCAAATTCTGGAGTGATCTATTCGGACTTGCGACCTCCTCTAGTTTATATAAATTAAAGAAGATATTCTACAAGAAACATTTTTAATGATTGAAATTTAATTTAAAATTTATTAAAATGTTTTAATCCAACAATTATATGATTATGTAATCCACGTATTATATTTTTATTATTAGCTTGGGTATACTACACTCGAAGTGTATAAGGATTTAATTAAAATCTTGAAGAACCTTTTTATAATTAAAATCTTAAAAACATTGTTATGGAATTATGAAGAGGTTGTTAGAGAGTAATATAAATCATTAAAAAAGTATTCACCCAACACCTTAGAATTTTGGGTTGAAACAATTATTTACATGACATCAGACCACAAGGTCACGAGTTCTATCCTCACTACCTTTCACTTTCTAGTGGAATTATAAATAAAAAACACATAAGATAAACCAAAAATTAGGCGTATGTAATGTTCACGTTTCAAATCCAATGAGCTCTTGCGTGAAAGAATGTGTTTTAAAATAATATAAATTATTAAAAAGACTTTCACCCAATACCTTAGATTTTGAGTTGAAATATTTCTTGAGCTATTTCAATAATAAGGTTTATTATAAAAGCAGAGGTCTAATATTCTTAACCTCCTCTCGTGTCATTACTTTTATTGTACAGAGTACAGACCAGTAGAGCTGTAGCTCCTATTCATTATTAGTAGCATAACATGATATAGGAGATCATATTGCTTAACATATATCAAATACAGATATATCATACTTAATCAATAGTTGTGGTTCGTTGTTGAGGCATCAAAGTCACCATCGATAAAGCCCCCATTGCCATGGCCATTGAAAGTACCACTGTTATTTATAGTGCGGCGACCATGGTTGTTTGTGGTGCGATACCTGTTACGGTCGCCAGAATATGCGCCACTGTTTATCTTTGCATTGGAGAAATCTTGGTTCCCATCGCCATGGTTATTGAATGAGTTTTGAGTACCATTATTGGACCCTTTGGCTGCTTCCTCAGCCTCCAGAAGGGCGAGGAGTTGCCTAAGCACAGCACTTGATGACATCCTTTTGTTATTCTTGAAGTGCTATCTACCTTAGTGTGTTTAGGTATTGGATTGCCTTAATATTACCAACTAACTAAGCCTACAATATATAGATGCGAGGAAGGGAATCCAATTATTTGCTTGTTCACGCAAAACTATAATAATGTAATATTCTAACAAACATGTTGTCTTCTTTTGGAAGGGAAAAAGTTTTGGAGTATATGTCCATTATCAACTATCAAGTGCTAATTATATTTCCACGAGTCGTTACTATCTCCACAACACACAAGTTGTGCTTCCAAGCAAAAGTCTTGGAGCATATATCCTTTATCAAGTATTGCACAAGCAACAAGACATTTTCTATCCACATGCATAAGGTGCGCTTAGTAGCAATTTCGATATATTTATCAGTTTGTTTGTGTTATGGCTGGTTACGTAATACCACATGACGTCAGTAACTAGCTCTCTAAAAAAAAATTGATCGAGAATCCAAAATCCACTAATTACAATAGAATCTTTCTTTACAAATATAAAATACATACGGGAAAAGGATAACCTTCAACCATGCGAGTTTTAGATCCATTGTTAACTGTTAATCCCACTTACACTTAATATTTTTAATTTATTACTAACATAAACAGTTAAACGTAAATGAAATTAATGATTAATAATAAATGTCAAAATTTTAATACATTTAAATATATAAGTTATGTTTACCAAAAAATATATATAAGTTATAACAAATAATTATTTACTCAAGTGGTATATAGTTTACTTTTAAGTTTTGAATTCGAGTCATAAAAAATAAAATATAAATGATTACCCATATATATATATATATATATATATATATATATATATATATATATATAATATGACGAAAGAGCCACCCATTATAAATCCAATATTGCTCGAACCGAATTAAATTTAATTTGATAACAAAAAAAATACAATGTAACTTATATATTGTAGGGTTTAGAGGAGAGGAAGGAGAGAATTGTGAGAGAAATTATCCAACCTATCTGAGTTTTTCCTTTTTATTATTTTCCGTATTTATTTTTCATAACATACACGCTAAATGACTGAAACAGAATTAACAACGTCTAAAAGAGAATTAACAACAGCTAAAAAATTCTGGGCCTTTGAATGAATGTAGTCAGCCGAGTATTTCGGTTTGGCTCTGTTTCTTAAGGGCGTGATATCACTTGGGTCACTGATTGTGATTGCACTTTGGGTCGATCTATGAAAGATTAAAAGAGCCGAATCTTTATTTTTAAAATTTTGACTTTTCATTTCTTTCATTTTCTCTAACCTTTGAAAAAATTTATTCATAAATAGCAATCGAAGTACAATCACGGGCAAGGTTAGGGTATATTGCCCGTGATTGTATATATGTAAGTTAATATGGCTATATTCATATATATAAGGAAGGTTTGGTAAAATATTCAGGTTAATTAGACCACAGCCATGCATAACCTGTCTTGGAATGAGTCTCCAAGTTTGTGAATACTGGTTCTGCTTTGGGACCTTCAATTTCCTCCCACCTTGTCTTATACATAATCACATCCGGCAGATATAATATAATAAATTATCGTTTTGTTGCTGCATCATTCCTTTTTTTTAAGCTTTAATTCAAAGAACATCGGTATATTATTTATTTTTATTTTTTTTTGGTTAATGTGGGTGTGGCATCATGTTATAGTAGAGATTGGAGAATCTGATGCCCAAGAAGGTAAGGAGTAATTAAAAGGGATGGAAGGGGATATAAAGAGCCTTCTTGACTCTCTCTCTCTCTCTCTCTCTCTATATATATATATATATATATATATATATATATATATATATATATATATATATATTATTCAAAATGAATGGATAGAATAGAATCAAGGAAACCAAGCACTGAATGGCTAGCAAATTGCATCGATGCTTGATTATTGTCTTAAAATCGAATCCAACTAATAAGCATCTTCCTAAAATATTACCTACCAGATTCTCTAAAATATAACCTTATTATTGTTTCTAGCATATTATTTGTTCCTGTCATTTTGGATTTTAAAATTTTATTTATGTAATTATATATAAATAGTATTCAAATGTAAAAAATATTAACTTCTGTGCCAAATAACTTACCTCATGCAAATAATAAAATTAATGTGTTAGAATATGTAGCGAGTGTAATCTTAATTATTTTGTAATTATGAAAGAAAAAAATTTAATAAGATGGAAATAAATATATAATGTTTAAATTAATTGTGCTGACGATACATCGTGAGAGAACCCAATTTTGCTTTGGGACCTTCAATTTCTTCACATCTTATCATATGCATAATTGTATTGGGAAGATATAATATAATCTATCGTTTTGTTGTTACATCAGGCGTTGTTTATAAGCTTAAATTAATTCGAAGCTTGGTATTATATAATATATATTTTTGGGTTATTGTGGGTGTGGCATCATATTATATTTAATTAGATTGAAGAATCTTATGCCCTTTACAAAAAGAAAGAAACTGATGCCTGAGAAGGCAGGTCCCTTGTACTTTTGTACAGTTGTAGGTAATAGTAAGCAAAATAAATCGTGTAAGGGCTAATAATAGTACAACTAACAAAAATTAATGGAGATTTGTTAATAGAAAATGTCTCTTAAGCCTTAAGATACGTTGTGTCATTTATATGTTACATACTACCGCGGACGCACCTTAGTGCAAGTGACTGCACTTGCAGATATAAAGTTGGGAAATTTATTTTTTCACATTAGATGAGTGCTTCAAGTCAAGAAAAAAAAAGAAATAAAAAAATTAAAAGAAAAAGGTAAAAATATGTCTAACCCAACAAATCCCTATAATATTAAAAGCTTAAAGCTTAAAGCTTAAACCCTAGCTCATTGCTTTGTCTCTTTTTTTTTTTTTATAAACCTTATTAGCTCCAAATCTTAATAAACATCAATATTCCTGAAATTCAATCTTCATCAAGTGGAGGAGAATCTCACAGAATTTTTCACGTTTTTTTGTGAAACAAAAGTGGCCAACTTTGGATCAAATAGACATCGACAAAGGTTGGTTTTTGATTGATTAACTCTTATAATTATACTATATTTGACAAATGTCTTTTGTGGTGTTTATTTTTTTTTAAATTATCATTATCTATTATTTCCTTAAAACTTTGGTTGATTCACCAAAGCTTTACTTTTGAAGTGGAAGCAAAAATTGAATCATGATTATGATCTTTAAAATAAAAATAAAAAAATTGTGCAGACATAAAAAAAATATCTCGGGTCTGCCACTGGTTACATACCATTATAGCTGTATGTAACAAGTCCTACATCGGTTGTCTATACAATTTATGTGGGGTTTATAAGGCTTTAAGCACTCTTACTCTTTGAGTTAGCTTTTGAGGCGGCGACCTCAAGGTCTGTATTAATTGATGCTTCCGTTGAGAGTTAAGGAGGCCACAAAAGGGATACCTATAGGCTGTATTAAGGTGTCATACCTCCCAAAGGGATGTTAAACTGAATACTGATATGTGAGTGAAACCGCCAAAAGGGAAGGGCTACCATCGGGTCAGTGTCGATAAAGTGAAAGCCCCAGTGGACATCCGCCCTTAAAGGAGGTGGCAATGTTACAAGTCCCACATTGGTTGCCTATACAACTAATGTGGAGTTTATAAGGCTTTAAAAACTCCCAACCTTTGAGCTAGTTTTTGGGTTAGTGACCTTAAGGTCCGTACCACTGTAGCTCCAGTTTCATTTTTATTAAAACCATATAATATTGATGATAGTTGTTAGAATATTGGTCGGAAGTGTTTTGCTTTGAAGGATGAGATAGATAGTATTGTATGAATATGAGTGTGATATTCATGAGAATATTTGGTGGAGTTGGTTATAGAAATGTGAGAACTTAGTTTAGAAGAGGACTAGTGTTTTTATTCTTACATGAACTACGTGGCTTTGGAGGTATTTATAGGAGTCCCGACCTCGTTAACATGTGGTCTACATTTGTTTATCTAGAAAACTCTAAATCAAGATTATTACACCATACATTTTTCCTTAACTCTTAAGACATTCTAGAATAATCTACATAAGTTTTAATCTTATTAGCCAATCCAAGAAAATTCTAGAAATGTGCAGCATCTTCTAATACTCGTCCTTGATGCGCATTTCTGTAACTCCAATATATCTCTTAGTAATTCGAACTTTGATCTTGGTAGTGACTTTGTGAAAATGTCTACTAATTGTTCTTCATTCTTGCAGTGCTTAAGCTCTATTTCTTTATTTATTTCTGCTTCCCTAATGAAGTGATATTTGATACTGATGTGTTTAGTTCTTTCATGAAACATAGGATTCTTTATCATTGCTATAGCGGAGTAGCAATCATATTATATCTTTGTCCTTTGAATCTGTGACTCTCCCATGTCTTCAAGTATGCGCTTGAGCCATATGGTTTGACTTGTAGTTATAGCTGCTGCTATATACTCTGCTTCTGCTGATGATTGAGAAACTGTTTCTTGCTTCTTTGATGCCCAAGAGAATATTCCTAAGCCAAGTGTGAAAGCATAGCTTGAGTTCTCTTCATATCATCCATTAATCCTACCCTATCACTGTAAGTATAACCAATCAATTTCAAATTAAGAGTAGACTCATACTATATGCCATAGTTCTTTGTTCCTTGCAAGTATCGCAGTACTCATTTTGTTTCTCCATAGCGAACTTTGCTTAGCCTCTTCATGAACCTTGATAATAGACTAGCAGCATACATAATATTAGGTCTTGTAGCTGTTAGATAAAGCAGGTTTCCAATGAGGCTTCGAAATAGTGTGTTATCTGCGCTTGGTGTGCCATCGCCACTTGTTAATCCTTTCTTGCTACCTAATGGAGTAGCTACTGTCTTGCAACCTTCCATCTTGAATTTCTTCACTTTTGTGAGAAAAAATATGCTTTCTTCTATTTGAGCTATCTCAATTTCGAGAAAATAGTGAATTAGACTAAGATCTGTCATATCGAATGTCTTCATCATATCTTCTTTTAATTCTTGGACCATTTTCTCATTGTTTCCTGTATAGATGATATCGTCAACATATATGGAGACAATA